GTACACTTATACACATGTTTAAGCCAGAATGATTTTACATTAAAATATGATTTCCCTACGACTTTAACTCTTCACTATTATGTTATTTTTATAAATTTTTCTAAGGTTCACATTTGTGTGACATTTTTTTCTATAATCTTTTTGCTGCTTACCTTTCTGTACCCTCATTAATGTATCTCTGCTTTTATCGAATTAAACTTTTCTTTCTTCTTTTTTTTTAATTACATGAATTTGAAGTTCAGGTTCAGTGGCTTTGGCAATTATTCCTTTCTATTGTGAAAGTCACTTTTTAATTTTAATTTTGATTTTTACACACTGACTGTATGTATGTGGAGTTCTCTCTTATTTTAGGAAAGTGACAGGAAGTAGTTTCTTGTTCATCTGTGACATTTGCAAGCCACTAAATTAGCTGATTAAACTGTTTATAGTATATTGGTTTTATTTTTTGTCTGAAGTTTTTTTATTTAATCAATCCAGTAAAACAAGGGCAAAAATCCCTCTTAAAAATAAACCCAAAAGCCAACACAGTGGTCACTGTCAGATGGTTTTAAACTCTGCACATACCAATGTGTCCTGGGAGGGGAAGGGGGGAATGAGGGCGAGGCAACGTGGGAGAAGTGGTTGTCAGGATCAGACTCTTCCTGTTGCTTGTGCGGCAACTGCAAAGAAAGAAAACAGGAAGGAAAACGTGTGTGAAGTTATACCAGCAAAGTTTGTCTTAGGATAGATCTCTGTGAGTGTGCGGTAGCTTTGTGTGCACTGTGCAGGAGACTTGTGCCATGCATGGCTCATTCAGACGACGCAAGAACAGTGATAAAGAAAATTTAATTTCCTCAGACATCCATTCCGCCTGGTCTCCTTGGAGCTGACATTACACATTAGGAGGAGGGTGGAGAATAACAGGAAAAAGACATAAAACATAACTGGGAAAAAATGCAGATCTTCTTTTCTTTGGCCTTATGTAAACATATCGAACCAATTGCATCAAACCTGGACTCATCTAATTCACACAGTTTCAGACAGTGCCAGACAGCAACCTTTTCTATTTCAGAAGTCCTCTACTCTGATCCAACCTCCTTCTTTAGCTGTGTCATTTACTCTGCAGGCTTTTTCAACAATGCAATGTGCTTTGCACTCCTATGCAGCATGGGAGAATCATCTCATCTATTCGTTTAAATAAAAAGGAAGCTGGATTCCTCCTCTTGTGTCTCTTCCTTGCCTTTGTCACATGGGCTCACATGTGAACCGGACATGCTATCTCTGCAAAGTAATCCATCGACACTGACTCTGTGGAGACGTGAGCTCAGTGTGACGACACCAGAGCGGTGACACAGAGATGCTAAGAGATAAGATGAGAAAATTAAACTCCATCCTAAAATATGCAATATGTAGAAAATGTAAAAATGTGTCAACTTCATTTATTGTAGTAATACTTTTCAAGATGTTTTAAATGCATTTAGACAATTCTTAATCAAACATCTAATATATAATGAAAGTAATTTCTAAACTGAGAGACACAAAGGACAAAAACTCCAGCAGACACACACCCATATATTGTCTTCAATGTATGAGAGTGCAGAAAAACTCCATTCCAAGATTCATGCTCTTAAAAGCCATAGCTGTCACTTTTTCAACAAAAAGATTCTTTTTTTTAATATAATACAACCACAGAACAAATAAAGCAGAAAACTGTAAAATGTGAACCCCCCCCCCAAAAAAACCCCCAGAATAATTAAATTATTCAATGCTTTAAAAATACATATATTTTAATCATACATATAATTACTTTACTTTAAATGTTCAAATAAAATAAAATATTTATGTATTTTAAGGGGAACACCAGCCTGTTGCATGGTTACTTTTGGGGTCACAGCTTGAAGTTTTTAAGAATCCTGATCTAGAGTGGTGCAAAAATAAAAGTATTAATATTACTTTGAAAAAAAAGTATATCAGTAATAGTTATACATAAAATTTTGACAGATCTAAAATATGTTGACATTCAAAGTTGTAGATTCTGCAACGATAGCAAAAGTAGGTTAAAGTTATCATCCATACTGGAAGCAGGATCTTTATCATTAGCTCCTTTGTGCACGTGCAATCAGATATTCATTCAGATCGCCATAAATAATGAAAGCATGGTACTGAGAGTACTAATTTCTATCCTTCTAAACTAATCTAAACTACATCCTATAAAAAATATTTAACTAACTTTCTGAGAGAATTGGATACGTTTTTTTATTCTCTCTGTTAAATTGCTTGTCTTACGTCACCATCAGACATGCTCCGAGGAGTCTGGCAAAATATGATTGCACTGCGTTTATCTGTATTTTAGTTGTGTCTTTCATTATAATATGCACTATACAGCATAAAGGTGCACAGACAGGCAAATATAAAACTCAAAAAGACTGGATTTATGTATGAATCCAAAGTCGACCGGAATGAGTGTAGGATCCCATTTCTGGGACAGATCGGACACAGAGGAGTGACCAAACAGAAAGGGTTCAAACACATTTATTTTCTCAGAAAACAATTTAGTTAACTACACACATTTTTTTTAAGGAAAGAAAAAGGTTAACTTTGATCTTTGTCAATAAGTGCAACCAACGGTGACCTGGCTGTATTTCTGGCTGCGCGTGCCCAAATGATCTGATGGTTCGTATTGTGTACCGGGATGGATTGGGTCATGATAGAAGACTTCTGAGACAGAGTTCACAGGCATCCCAGTAGCTCCTAAATAGAGCTGAGAAATGTCTCCAGCATTACATTTTTCACATTCAACCCAAAAAAGAAGAATAAAAATATGGTTGAACATCAATCAAGATTTAAAGGATTGGTGTCTAGATGAGGGAGCAAAGAGGATCAGAGGTAACTGCATTTCTTTTTAACTGGTAAATTAAATGTTGAGTTTGCTTTGCATCGCCAATAGGGTGGCAAACAGTATAGAACAAGAACAGCCAAGTATGCAAGTTACTGGCCAGGAAGTGTTAAAGCTGTAGCCATCACCTGTAATTCAAGGCAAGCAAGTGCGCTAACATGCAGCCAATCAATCTAGAAGAATTTGTTATAATGCTTCAAAATAGAAAAGAAGCAGGAGAGGTTATCTCTCATATGACTGTATTTTTTAAGGAGCCTTACGACACACCAGATAATCTGACTGCACCCAGTTACATATACTATCATCTAAATGTAATTTTAATGTAAGAAAAATTAAAGCAGCTTAACTTTTAATTAAATTAAATGAATTTATTTATTTAGCAGGGAAAGTGTACATTCAAAAGCATTCCTGCAAATGCACCAGAATTAGCCAAAAGGCTATTTTTCAGCTGTCCCTGGACAGATCTTAAAATTGTCTACCTAAAAAAAAACACAACAGTAAGCATTCTACAATGAAAACCACAAATATTAAAAGAAATAAAAACAGCTATACCTCCTCAAAACTGATTTAAAATACAGAATAAGTGTTCGCTGGAGTACTGATTTTAGGTTCATAAAATAGAATAAAACAAATCACAAAGTAAATAAAGCACAAGCACATGTAATCTATCTAAAGCTCATACAAGTTTTACCTGTCATGCAAATTAAATATACCGACAGAATGTGATAGCTCAATAAGTAGTGCAAACTTTTAAAGGAAAAAAAAAATGGAAGTAAAAAAAAAGTTATACTGTTGTGAAAATAAAACCGAGAAACATCTGGTGTGCATTAGTATCCACCCTCTTTAATCTGAAACCACTGAATAATATCACCAAACAAACAATCTGTCTTAATCTTATAAATCAAGCTGTTCTGAGAAGACCTCAGAGGTTTGTTAGAGAACATTAGTGACCAAACAGCATCATGATGACCAAGGAACACAGCAAACAGCCAGGTCAGGGATATAGCAGTATGTAGAGTTTTTTTTTAAATTAATCTAAAAAAGTATTTGGCACAAATTCAAGCCTATCATAATTTGGTAGATTTCCTGAACTGACAGATAGAGCACAAACAGCAGTAACCTTAAAAGCAAAAAGGAACCCTTTTACTGGTGCATTCTACAAAATAAACTTTATGATATAATAGCAAGAAGGAAGGTATTTTTGAAAGAAAAAAAGGAATCTAATTAAAAGTTTCCCAGAAAGCTAAGCAGGTTATGAAGCCCATTTAGAAACAGGGAATGTGGTGAAGGGAAAACAGCATGGAACTTTCTGGCAACTAAACCCTACATATAAAACACTATGGGTCTGATCTTAAAAGATTTAAAATAAGGGCAGGTGCAATAAGTGGTGTGGGAGGTCTACAAAGACTGCTACTAAAATGTTAAGACATGCAAACCCGTCTGGTTCAGCCCATTAAAATGTGCAGGTTGTGTTACAGGAAATCTGAGAGTGGCCATAAAAAAAGATGAGGTTTTAAGCCAGGTTATAGTGACAATAATTATTTGAATAATAACTGACAATACTCATCTACCTATGACACTAACATTATTCACACGTGGTTAAAAAAAAAATATATAAATGCAGAAAAAATATATAAATAAAAAAAATACAATTATAAGAGTAAAATAAAGTTGAAGTTAAATATAAAAATGAAAAAAATCATGACATATGAGTTATCATATAACGTGATAATGCCCATCCAATTTAACCCCTTCATTGCAGCTCAGGCTGTTTAGTTTTTGTCCTGCTGGGAGTTGAACCTCTGCCTAACTCTCTAGTTGTTTTCAGCTTTTAACCAGTTTTTTACTAGGCTGCCTCTTTATTCCACTTAAAAAAAAAAAGACGATATGATGCTGCCATCACCATTTTTTACAATGCAGATGTGTTCTACGGGCTGATCTGAAGCATTGCTTTTTGCAGAATTTTTTGTGCCCCAAAGCAAACCATCCATGTTTGCTATGCCCCATGCATCTGTGATGCCCCTGCTTGGTCCTTGGTGTCCACTTCCTGTTGCTAAACACCAGATTCTGTTCATCGTACCATCATTGGTTCAGCATGAGGAACTCGGATACTTTTGGTTTTATTTTTGGTGAGGTCACAGATGCACATTAGTCTTAGACTTTACTCAGGAAGAAATACTTGAAGACCATGCACCATTTTCCTTCAGTTCCACATGGCTCCACATTGAAGGCCGTCTTTTCCATCTATGTAACAATAATAATAAAAATTTTTTTGCAGATATGTAAATTACTATTCAATAAGAGCAATTGGAGGATATTTGGGAGAAATGTTCCCATACGGTCAAAATCAAAACTGCTTTTATTTGAGTATTGTTGTTTTTTGATTTCCTTTTTTTTCATACACTTTTTCCTCACAATTGTTGCCTTTGTATAGGACAAAGAAGTAATTTTCTATTATGTATTTCTTTAAACCCTCTCATTTTAGTTATTTCCTGAGGGTAATTCAGAAACCATTCCAAACTTGTCTCCTTACAGAACAATTTGCTGCCAGTTTCCTCTTCCTGCTGTTGACGTTTTGTTTTGAGATTTTGCATTGTGTCACCATTAGATCATTTCTTTTGCGTCGCCTCCTCCTCTTCCTCCCCTCCTCCTGTGGTCCCTGGTTAGCATTCTCGGCGGTCTCCCTGATGCTCTCTGCGTAGCAACAAGCTATCACGTGAACAAGCTCCTTTGCACAACATTCCCTCTGGGCTTTTTGTTTTGTCTGTTCTCCTAAACTAAATT